TTATTCATTCGCAACTAATTTCTAGGCACCTACTCTATGCTAGTTACATATGAGAATGTTGAGGCTAATCAAGTTGCCCTTGTTCTCAAGCACCTTTCAATATAGTAAGGAAAGCCAGTCATGTAAACAAATCAGGGCAATAAAACACTATAGTTGTTATGACAGAAGTATATGCAGGATACACAGGGAGACACAAAAGGGAATGTTTAATTCTGCCTGGGGAGAAAGAAAAGACTTTATGAAGGAGGTGATGTTTGATGTGGTTCTTAAAATATGAGTGAATTTATAGGCAGACAACAGGGAGAAAAGCTTTCTTAGCTAAATATAATGCGAAAATACAAGTACTACAGTGTAGAATGGGTCCAGGGATAGGATGATCAATTTACTGAGCAACAGAAATATCAGAGAAGGGATATCTGATACAGGCTATCCAGTTAAATATCCAGATATGGAATCCAACATGCAGGAGAGTGGCCAGGGCTGTACATCACAATGATCCACCTCTGACTCTTACTTTTGCTGAGCCTTGAGGACAGACATCCTTTTCCTAGAATGCAGACATTTGTACTGGTTCTGTAATTGGAGAAGAATCTTAGTGAAGTCAGTCTTTGGACATGGTTCTTGGCCCTCTGACTTTGCTTGTGTCATCAGATCCTGCAGGCTTCGGGACTGTGATTCTATATTGAGGAGTGTTCTGTCCTCCTCTAGGGCATGTGCCTCTATCTACCTGGTGTCACAATGTTTGCATCCAGGTAGATAGTCATTATTACAGGAACAGAAATAGGGTCTTGTGTGGCAGTCTTTTAATATGGTTGGAAGGCAGCATTACACAGTGGTTAAGGGTGTGGAGTCAAGCATTAGGCACCTCGTTTTCAAACCCTATGTGTGGGATCAAGGGTAGCATCCTTTGCCTTCCTATGCCTTAATTTCTTTATCTATAAAAGGGGAATAATCGTTTTTCTTTTATAGAGTTTCCATGAAGCATATAACGTGATAAATATTAACCTCTGTCATTATTCATATGACTAGGTAAAGATGGTGAGATCTTTGTCCCTAGAACGTAGATAACTGGATCAAGGCTACTCTTCCTGGAAACCTCATGTATGCCACCTGCCCAACCATTTCAATGGATGTATTATCAATACTACATAGGACACTTTGATTTGGACTTTCCTAAATGGTTAGTTTAGGTTTTGATCTACACATTTTGATGTTCATGCATGTAGAAGCAAAAGTAAGTGGCCTATTTTAAATACTGGCCAAAGCCTTTTTTTAAAACTCTTAAAAAAAAAAAAAAAAAAAAAACCCTCTCATGATATTAAATTTCTTAAAAATCTACATACAAAAGTAGTGACCGCTCTCCCATATATAAGTATAAAAGTCCCAGCATGTAAATGCATTAGCTAAAATAAGTATTTGATCCTTTCAACCAAAGCCCATTTTCTCTTCCATCCAGAAAGCCTTGAAGTGTGAGTATTACACTACTTGCAGGTTTCTATGTAGGCAGGGGATAAATAGTCTGCTTCTGTAATTAATAACTATTAAAGCTGTTTGACTGATCATATCTTTGGGCTCCTGAAATCTCTTCCGTGCAGGTGTGCATTAATGGAATTCATTAAATTCATATATTTCAACAGATAGTAATTTACGATCTTTTATAAGATCTGTCAGGAGCCGCAGCAGGAGATACAGGACTGTCTCAGGGCATTACAGAGCAAACCAGTCTCCCTCCCTCAGAAATGGCTCACTTTTGAGTAATAAATACGAATGTCAATGCAATAGGTAGTCACATTATGTGCATTCTATGACATTTGCTATCTGAAAATATGTAGGATAAGCTTTTCATCACTGGCAAAATCCTGAACAGGGCTGAACGATTTTCAGAGACACTGAAGGAAAAGTGTGTGGGAGTTCTAACCACTTTATATTTGCCATAAAAAAGGAGAACTTGGGAACAGATCAAGGCTCTGGGAAAGTAATGAGTTTTCCCAGGGATGAGTCATCCTCCCAAGCTCACTAAATGGGGCAGCCTCTCCATTCTGACCAGTGTTTTCAAGGGAAATAGAAATCAGCCTTGACTTCTGTCATGTCCCACCCTCGGCTCAGCCCAAAAAGAACTGCTGTCCTATCAGAGACAGGGTGTCCCTTCGGCATGGCCAAGTTTCTGAATGGGCAAAGCCATCAGCCACTTTCCTCAGGGGGTCCCAGGATGGCAGGGCCACATTTGTGAGGTGAAATGCTACTTGAGGGACTTTCATAATTAATTTAAAACTGAAAACAAGCCTGAGAGAACCAGTAAAGGTATTATGTAATTATCAGCTAACATCTAAGGGGATGGTTAGAGGTGAATGAAATGAGAGGCAATGCAAGGTAGGAAGTTGTCCTGAGCCACCAGGGACAGGATGAAGAGAATGAGTTGGGAAAATGAGAAAGTAACAACCTTAAAAGGTCCCTTTCATATTTTATAAATGGAGTAAAACGTTCTTCAGTGGTTTTGTAAAGGGAAGAGGGTTGAGTTGAGGTCAAAGCCGATATTGCAATGAATGCTCCTGTTTATGCAATGCTCTTACCATTCAAAGAATTCTTAAAACAGTTAGATGAGGTTGGCAGGCCCCCTTTTAAAGGAGCTAAATGAGCCCTATCCCTATTCCGAAGCTAATTTATGTCTTCCAGGGCACAGTGGTGGTTTTCTGAGCTTATCCTATTCTGGAGTTTCCTAAGGAAAGAACAGACAGAGGCATCTGCTTTCAGGGACCATCTAAAAAATCAGCAACACCAGGACCACCAGCCAGATCCCAAACATGAGAATGTGAGAGCCCTCACCAGGTAGGGGGGGTATGTTTTCTTTTATTTTGTTTTGCTTGTTGACGATCAAAGAAAATATATTTTTTAATGTATTATATAGGCATATATACATATACATATATTATGTATATATATAATGTGCATGTATCTTATGGACAATATTTACTACATGATTAATTAAAGAAGTCATTTGCCTTTTAAAATGCTTCATTTTCTAAACCAACCTACCACACAGATATCTGTACATTATCCACCCGAACACATTTTGGTCTAAATCATTAAACGTGAGACTGATCAAAATATAATTTTTGCACAAATACGGAATAGATCTATGACATAGAGCTAAGCAAACTAATATACCCATATTCTGGCTAGGTGATCATCAGAGTATGAGTATATTAGTTTGGTTAGCTCTACGTTGTAGATCTATTCCATAGATCCTTCTGTTTTTGAATTGTGTATTATCTTTTAAATTGAGGTCTAATTTACATCCAATAAAATACAGTGTACAGTTCAATTAAGTATATAGTTCAATGAATTTTGAGACATGTATACACCCACATAATCAGTCTGCAATGAAGATACATAGTGTATTCATACCCTACAGCATTCCCTTCCTACCCTTTACCACTATATCCCACTCCATACCATCTCTGAGGCAACTGCTGCTTTGATTTCTGTAATGTCATATAAAGAGAACCATAAAGTATGTTCTATGTTCTCTTTTATGTCTGGCTTCTTTCACAAAACATAACATTTCTGAAATGCATCCATGTTATGCTATGTATCAGTAGCTTGTTCCTTTTCTTCATTAAAGAGTACATATCGCATCATCATACCACAACTTGGTTCACTGGTTCATGAATATTTGCAATTTGTTTACGTTTGATTATGAACAAAACTGCAATAAACATTCTTATATATAAATGTTTTTGTGGGCATGTTTTCATTTCTCTTGTGTAAATACATAAGAGAGGAATCTCTAGGCCATATGATAACTATAGTTTTAATTTTATAAGAAACTGTCAAATTATTGTCCAAAGTACTGGTACCATTTTTAATGGTACATTTTTAAATGAACACGTAATAGTTACATATGTTATGGTGTTTGGAGTGATATTTTGATACAATGTGTAATGATCAAATTAGAGTAATTAGCATATCCCCCACCTAAAACATGTATCTTTTATTGGTGTTGGGAACACTCAAAATCCTCTCTTCTAACTATTAAAAATATATATGCAAAAGAAATTAGCCAAGTGTGGCAGCATGTGCCTGTAGTCCCAGCTACTCGGGAGGTTGAGGCAGGAGAATTGTTTGAACCTGGGAGGCAAAGGTTGCAGTGAGCCGAGATTGTGCCACTGCACTCCAGCCTGGGTGACAGAGTGAGACTCCATCTCTACAGAAACAACAACAACAACAACAACAACAAAAAATATATATATATGTGTATATATATATATATAAAAAATAAATTGTTGCTAGTCACCCTATCATGTTTTAGAAGACTAGAACTTATTTCTCCTGTCTAGCTGAAATTTTGTTTCCATTAACCAACCTCTCCATATCTTCTGACCCAAACCTTCCTAGCTTTTAATAACCATCATTCTAGACTATGGGCCAGGCGCAGTGGCTCATACTTGTAATCCCAGCACTTTGGGAGGCCGAGGCAGGTAGATCACAAGGTCAGGAGTTTGAGGCCAGCCTGGCCAGCATGGTGAAACCTGGTCTCTACTAAAAATGCAAAAATTAGCCAGACGTGGTGGTGCTTGCCTGTAATCCCAGCTACCTGGGAGGCTGAGGCAGGAGAACTGCTTGAACCCGGGAGGCGGAGGTTGCAGTGAGCCAAGATCGTGCCACTGCACTCCAGTCTGGCAACAGAGCAAGACTCTGTCTCAAAAAATAAATAAATAAATAAATAAATAAATAAATAAATATTATTCTAAACTGTACTACGAAATTAACTTTTTAAGCTTCTGTACGTGAGGGAAAACATGTGATATTTACCTTTCTGTGCCTGAATTATTTTACTTTAACATAATATCTCATGCTCATCCATATTGCTGCATGTTGCTGTAAATGACTGAATTTCATTCTTTTGTATGACTAAATAGTATTCCATTGTGTACATATACCATATTTTCTTTATTTATTCATCTGCTGATAAACACTTAGTTTGATTCCATATCTTGGCAAAAACTATGAAACATTTTACAAATTTGTGTGCCATCCTTGGACAGGGGCCATACTAAACTTTACTGTATTTTTTTTTTTTTTTTTTTGAGACAGGGGTTTCACCATGTTGGTCAGGTTGGTCTTGAACTCCTGACCTCGTGATCCACCTGCCTCAGCCTCCCAAAGTGCTGGGATTACAGGCGTGAGCCACTGTGCCCAGCCTTCTGTATTGTTTTATTTTCAGTATATGTGCTGCAGAAGTGAGCACTAACCTTTTTATTCCCTTCATCATATTTTCAAATACTTCCAGGAATTAATATTACAGGCAAGATTAATCAGTGTTAACTACTGATATTAGAATAATGATTCAATTTAAATCTTCCAAATAGTAATTTGTCAAATATTCAGGATATCTTGTAATAGCTAAGTTTACAAAGAAAAGTAAGACATAGTCCTTGCTCTTGAGAAACTTATGATGTATTAGGAAAAACTAGAAGCCATTATGGTAAATGATAATGAATGTGCATAAACCAATGTGGGGATATAAGGCAGTTACAGAGATCTTCACAAGGCTCAGGCAGGGCTTCGGAGTCCTGAGGATATTTGAGCTTTGAAGAGGTCTTTCACTCACTGAACATGTATTCATTAGGTGCCAATTATGTTCAGATGCTCAGTAAATGGAATTGAATTTTGTAAGGAGGGAGACTCAAGGTCAAAGCAGGAAGATTGTATCCAATCTGGAGCCAGCAAATTGACAGGGAAAAAGAAGGGAATTAATAATTGCTTCACACCTATTGTCTACTGGGTGCTTAATCTCTCAGCGGCCTAGTTCAAGATTTTTATTCCCACATTACAGATGACAAACATGAGTTTCAGAGAGGTTACTTTGCTTGCCCAGGTTTCATAGAGCACGCATGAAGCAGAGCTGGAGTGTGAATGCATCTGGTGTCCTTGCAGAGTCCACTCCCAGGGCAGCTGGCTTTTTGTACAGGCACAGAAACAGAATAAAAGAAGATGAAGAGAGAATGAGAGACGGCACCAATGGCAACATGATTTTAGTGGCTGAGGTTACCTTATGCTTTATCTAGAAATGGAAGCCACAGGGGCCTTCAGACAGAATGTAAAGAGCATTGGCTTTAAAATCAGAATTGCCTGAGTTCATATCCCGACTGATTCACTGAGTAGCTTGACCATCATTGATTATAACAGAAGTCATCAGGGATAATAATATCCATTGCATCACTGTATACCAACGTCCAGTGTTTAAGTAAATATGACACTTAGTAGTTATATTTATTTAAATAACGATCACATCATTGGCCACATTCTATATGCAAGGCTTTTGTCTTGTGTGGACTCTGTCTTGCTGCTTCTCGTGTGTGTGTGTGTGTGTGTGTGTCTGTGTATATAAATATATATATATATATTTGGACATTGTGACAGCATTCTAAGTCCAAAAGTCCATCCATGTCCACCCATCACTTCCTTTTATAATGCTTATTGGTTTGGGTTTTGAGATATCTTTCATGAACCATACTCACATTACCTTCATGATATTAGTGAAATTTCCTACAATTGCATGTAGACCACTGTTGCTCATTATTTTGCATAAAGTTTAGCTGACTTGAACCTGCTTCAGAAATGTACATTTACTCCCAAATTCACTTGCTTTGCAATGCTTGAGATGGGTGGACCTAAAAACCTTGGCTACAATTGAGAGCACTTGCCAGTTCCACAGGAGAAATAATCAGAAGTGGTTTCTGACACTGAGCAATGCTATGGTCACACAGGCACTACCTTGGAACGTTGAGACAATTACGTTAAGTTCAAGGCCCCTAAACCAAAAGAAGAGAAAAAAAAACCAGTCTGTTTGTTTTTCAATTGTTGGTTTGTTGTTTACAATCAGATTAAATACCCACTTTTTGCATAACCCATGGATAGACTAAATGGTGACTCTTAAAGAGAATAATCAAAAGGGCAACATTATGGAGAACTCCTGTAAGGCAAGTCTAGACACTAGCGTAAAAATGAACTGAGTGGTATTTCTAAGAGACTCACTCAAAAAAAAAGAAACAAAACAAACAAACAAAAAGCTGGTAGAGTCAAAACCAAAAGAGCAGAACCATCCAACTGGAGAATTTTTTAAGTGAGATGTAATTTCATAGGTGACAGTAAAAACCAGACTGGACATGGCAGTAGCAAATGCACTCTAAGGAGCAATTTTGGTGGTAGGAACAAGTTGGCCTTATTGCCCTAATGGATCATCCCTTTCTCTATCTGCTGTGATATGAGAGCTGATGAGATCCTGCCTGAGGCAGCGGGACCATCTCAACACAGATTGTCTCTCCATTCACAGGGGTAAACACTTTACTGGGAGATTTAAAGTGAAATTTAGAATTACAGGGAAGTACCTAGGAAACAGATATTTTTTTCCTCAGTGAACTCTTAAGAGGGCTTGTCAGTAAAGTTCAAGCAAGCAGGTGTGCCGAAAATTGCTTTAAAACCAAACAGACAGTAGGAGGCATGCATATGCCAGAAATCATAGCCCCCGTGAGACAGACAAGCCCATTTTTCAGCAGGAGCAGCTGCTGGTGCATCTGCAGACAGGTTGTTGTCAGGAGTGTTGAGCAGAGAAATTTCAGGAGAAAGGTGCTCATGAGAAGGGAAGAGGCGTGAGGTCTCTGGTGTATGAGATTCAGCAAAGAAACTTGGGTGATGCGCTGAGTCCTGGGCTGACATTGTTAGAATTTAGAATTTCATCTGAGACTGGGAGGCTGGATGAAAGTGGCACTGAGACTTTAGATTGGAGTTTGTTAAATCCTGAGCAATAAAAATTGCAGTTCACTCTAATGAAACTTCCTGGGAAGACTATTAGTATTAAACAGGGAGACTCTCTCCCCAGAAATAATGCTAAATCACAGTCACAAATACTTCCAAGTCCAGTTCGGCACAAGCCAGAACATGATTGCATTTTTAAAATTAAATTCACTCTTATTGCTTTGGCAGTTGCCATTTTCTGAAATTAATAGGAATAGAATGCATGAACCAAAAGGCTAAGGGTGACCATACTGTATTAGAGGTTACAGAGGTGACGGTGACAAAGGTGAGTGGGCAGGCAGAGGTAGGGGTGGCCATATCTTTTTTAAGCATTTACTTCAAGGGAGTAGATCGATGAAAAAGACTAGGACTCTAACATAATAAGAATTTTACAAAATTGTTGGGGACGTTAAGGCTCAAAATAACAACCTGTGTTTTACTATAGAAAAATTTAACTGTTTCTTTTAATGTCTCAGCATCATGAGTACCCAAAATTATCTTACATCCTTTATGTGACTCAATATGCCTGCTAGCAAATTGCTGATCAGCAGGTGGGTGTTCACTTCTCACCTTTTAAAGTATAAGGTAATATTAAAAATAAGTCTTAAAGGATCCTAATTCATTGATAATAGCCATCTTTATTCCACAAGCCTCAATGTGAATTATTTATTGAAATTCATTAAGTGAATAACTTATTCATGAGTTTAGCAAATATTTGTTAAGCTGTCTCACTGTGCCAAGCGTTTACTTTTTGGACACAGAGATTAGAAGCATTTAGTTCCTACCCTCAAGGAGTTCACTCTAGAATCAATGAAAGAAGCAACAAAATGATCTTTGAGACAAAATCACAATACAGAGGAGTAAGTGCCATAGTATCTGCACTTATCCAACATGAACAAGGTTTCTCGACCTCATCCTAGGGATTGAGAGTAGAAACACTGTCAGGAAGAGGAGCTGCTGGCATTGACCTTTGGGAAATGAGTGATGATTAGCCAAGTGGCCATGGTTGGGTAGGGTATATCAAATGGGAACAACACGGACACAAGCAGAGGACAGAGAGAACATAAACAATTAGGGAACTGAATACAGATCAAGAGAACCGAAAAGAGAGGTAAGTAGAAAATCACAGGTTGAGAGGAGTTTGCAGAAACAAGGCCAGAAGCTAAAATAGGTAACACTAAGGTACATGACAGCGATTAGAATCCACCAGAAAATTCTGAATAGTAGTAATGTCAACAGATTTGCAGTGCAGAAAGAATTTTGGTGGCATTGTGGAGGATGGATTCAAGTGTGATGAAGCTGGAGGCTTGAAGGCAGTTTAGGAAAGTATTACAGCAGTCCAGTGAGCAATAACGAAGTCTGAGCTAAAGCAGAGGTAGGGTAGACAGCAGATGGGGGTTTGAGATACTTAGGAAATAATGTTTTTAAGTTATGGAGTGTGAGATGATAGAGGTGTGTGGGAAAGAAAGGATAGAACCTGGAAACATTCTTTCAAGCACATTAAAAATATCAACCTATTTAATGCCGTAAGAGTCATATTATTTAAGAAATAATGCTTGTCTATACTACAGATGTGGAAATGGACACAAACCCAGGTATTGTCCTATGCTCATCAGAACACCTTGTTGTAGCATCTTGTTTCAGAGCAGAGTATCCCTTTGCAGCAAATGGAAGAATCAGAATCAAAGCCAGCATCCTGTTCTTTCAAGCACCCTATCTTGGATACAGCAATTAGAAACAGTGACAAAGGATGGGTGTTACATTCTGTAAAATCCTTGTTGTCCTAACCAGACAACAGGAGAAACAATGCTACAGAGAAAAACAGACTTCTGTCCAGATGGCAAGGTGAGTCAATGCATACCTCACCCTCTCTCCTTTTGATATTGTAGCTATCATGGCTACATGTTTATTGCAGCAAGTGGCCTTGGAACATGGTTACTTATACTGGCGGTTCTTAAAGACAAGATTAAACAGAATGAGAAAAGGCAACATCCGAAGCACAGTGGCTGAATGTTTTCAAATTGAAGAAATTCAAGCTCAAGTCTAGAAACTGAAAGTTTATGTAAAATTTAAAAAAGGGATATACAAAAGGGAATTGACCCCTAGACAGATAAAATAATGAATATCAAAGTTTAAAAAGACCAGCAAAAAAAGCAGATTTCCTAAAGCTGAATAAAAGGAAAACACCAAGGTCTGAGAGGCAGGGAATCTAAGGCCAATTCATGATAATTTCTGAAAACTGGATCAAAAGGGAAGCACCTGGTTCTGGGCACAGGGAACCTAAAGCCAACTAAGACCAACTTCC